CAAAGTTGGTGACCCTTCTTATTTATTTCGTTTTTTGAGAGTACTTTGAGAGTCGTTTTTAAAGTTTTATTATTTCATTATTTCAAGAGGTCGTTTTGATAGTGTATGACCCTATATATTTTTTTCCTCTCCTCTTGGCTCAGTGTTAGAGGGATTGACTGGGGAAATTTAGGTATTAAAAAGATATTGACTACTTTACAGACATTATCGGGAAAGAATTCAGTGTGAAGTTGATTTTTGTGAGGCTTGCCTCTTGTTCACAATGAAAAGCGTTTTATGTAGGGTTTCTGTTTCAAAAGAGTGGTCCCGGTTGGATTGATCCGCAGAGTGAAATCAGTGTCTGCAAATAGCCTTATAGTTACCGCCACCCGGCTAGCTCAGTTGGTAAGAGCGTCGGTCTGTTGTGCGGGAGGTCGTGGTTCAAGCCTCGGCCGGACCAACACTCAGGGTCTTAAAACAACTGAGGAGAAGGTGCTGCCTTTGTAATTACATCTGCAAATGGTTAGACCTTCACGTGGCTCGGATGATCACGTTAATGGCGGTCCCGTCCCTAATTAACTAGAGACGTTAACAGAGGACCACGAGTTTATCAGTTGAATTACTGTCAAGTGTTATCCTCTATAAACAAAGTTAATTGTTATTATTATTATTATTATTATTATTATAATAGTTGCTATTTTATATCTTTTGTAGTTCCATTGCCATACAAGAAAAATAAAAATGAATACATATTTCATGTTAGGTAAGTAAATCAAATCCTAACCGGCCGAATAAAAACAGCTAAAGATTTTGGCCACCTCATCCGATCCAACATTGTTGCCATGGACATTGTTCAAATACGTAATACTTTTCTAAAACCTTTAATTAATTGCGGGTTAATTGAAATGTTTAATTTGGATTCCTCACAAAAAGCAATACGGCTTTTCTTGTACAAAAAAAGGAAGAAGATAAAAAAAACCGATTGCCGGTTCTACATGCATTCCGTTGCGTGTATAAAGCACTTATTTTGTCATAACAAACCAAGCAAACTCCTGAAACAACCCATACAACCCCGATTTAATTTGATATAAGCAGGGCTAAATCACAGGTCAAATCACTGTTTGACTTGTTTTTTGACGGAGAAAAACTAGAGAATCTGGAGGAAATCCAGAGAATCAAGGAAGGGGGGGGGGGGAGGCCTAACAAACTCTGCCCTCATGTGATGCCGACTTGATGCAATTGAACCTTTGGCCCCGGAGGTGAGATGCGAATGCACTACCGCTACACCGGCCGGCCACCMATGCCAATTCATGTTTTCACCTCTAACAGCATTTCTTTTCAGTGACTATGATGATCTTTGTGGGCAGTCTTTTGATGTATCTGAAACCGGTATTTTCCTTGAACTTCCGCCAAAACGTCCGTTTATTCCCTTCACTTTGAAGTGCATTGTACCTTTTGAAATTGCGAAATCCATACCTTCTCCTGTTGGCAAAAACGAAACTCTYGTCAGTTACATAGTGAAGTTGGAATCACCAACATACACACTGAAAAGAATACAGCAAGTTATTGTTACTCTAGTACATTCTGGCGCTGACAAAACACTTGGCTATGAAAACGTTATGAAAGTTTTCGATGAAGACAAAATGTTATGGCGTGAAGGTACATTTATTAATTGTTGCAGTCCGAATTATTGAATATTGTACACGTCATTATTCATTACAGTATAGTYTTCAGTCAAACGCTCTTTTATTTTAAAGTTATATAAACGAAGTGAATGGGATAATACAATGCGGAGCTCAGAGTTGTAGCATCCGCCGCCGGTTGTTTGGTTTAAACCAACCCACTTTTTGGAACACCATGCAACTTTTACGGTTTAATTTGTTTTGATGAAGAATCGCTGACATAGGAACTTTCTCAGCTGGACAGATTCTGATGTTAAGAGGTTTTCAAACAGACCACTCCCAAGTTTCGGATTTTCCAGCCGTATTACTGCCAAAGCTGCCAGTTAGTGAATCAATGCTTAAGTAGCGGCTACGGCCCTGGACCTATTGTCAAACAACTTACAAACATAAAACCTGCTATCAGTATTTTGTTTTCTCTTACATTACTCAGGAATTAAATATCCTAATTGAGATCGTTTATATGAATACGAGTGACCCGAGTCAGTAGTCTCCCTTGCAGTTCGTCAATAGCTGTTTGTCGCGTATCCTCACCGGGCCACCTAGTAGGGAGAGAGACTGATACTATCGACACTAATAGCGCCGCTACGTTAGATACTTGAAGTGGAAAAAGCACAGGAAGCCCAAGCAATGTACTTGTATCGTATTACAAACGAATATATGTAATATATGTATATCGTAAGAATGTCTAAAAGTAATTTTGTAGTTTTTCGTTCCAACTTTTATTATTCCAATGATAATTAATACTTTCCCCCTCTCTTTTAGAACGTATGCGGCTTCTTAGGACAAAACAATATAAAGGGACTAATTCTATCCAAGTACTTGTAAATATACCGACTATTTTAGCAGTTGTAACCAGACTCATCACAGATCGATTCCAAGTCACACCCAAAGGATGTGTTGTCAGGTCTTCTGTGTGCGATGATGTCACGATTGAGTTCCCTCAAGGAGCTGTAGACAAGACCGTGGAAGGAACCATGAAGGTTTGGATAACACATATATCATTTCACGTTTGACATAGCATGACAGCTCTAAGCGACAGAGTAATGGGAAATGGACTGCAGTCAATCAAAAAAAATCGTTAGAGTACGAAAAGGTACATGGGAACCATATGGGAAGATACATGGACATGATTTATTTTGATGGACAGTGGTCTACTAACAGTATTATACGCATTTACCCGTCGCGACTTTTGTCTGGAACATCGCGTAGCTATGAAAACAGTGATAATAAATCTAATCTCAGTCTTTTTTTAATTTTAAAGCTAATGCTAATGCCTGAAAACATCCACGATAGCAAAGATGCTTGTCCAATACTCTGTACGGATGGTTTTTCAAGTACTGCCTTTTTAAAGTCTGTTATCGTAAAGATGCCCTTGCCAAACAACACAGCAGAATACTCAACAAAAGACATCCAGCTTCTTCGTTTGGACGATTACACATGGGAATATAAAGAATGGAAAGATGTAACAGATCAAGTAAAAATTGTAAAGTTTAAGACCCACACAGAATTTCACGTAAATCACTTCTCCTGGTAAGTCGATGCTTTGATTTTTATTGTCTTAAATGTTTCGCATGATTTTTTTTTTGGCAATTTGGTAATACTGGGACTTGGACTTACATCCAAAATTGCTTCCATGAAAGACGTTCACTTGAGAAAGACTACATCAAAATAAATGAATTGTAAAATTCAAACTAGTTTTGTTTTATCCAGTGAAATAACTGAAAAACTCAAAAACATTCCAGTTTTACCGGACAATGGTTCCCACGAGTCACTTTTATTTTCAAGTATAAGGCCCCGTCCACACATATCCGGAAATTTTTGTATGACGAAGTATGGCCTGAAAGTTTTGCTAAAAGTTTTGCGTGAATTTGTACTCTGTACACAAGTTGGTATATGCTAAAACAATTATTCACCTCAGGCTCAGTGAATATGGAGAATGTTTACCTCGCCACTCGAAGACTCGCGTCTCGGTAAATATTCCCCGATATTCACTTCGCCTTCGGCGAATAATTGCTAAATATACAAGCCTTCAAGCAAGTTAGTATGTAACGAAATGACACTGAGTAAGATATTTCATGATTTGTCTCAAGAAAACATTGTATAACTATTTTACCATTACTATTTTAGTAATAAAGCCCCAATTGAATTCGGTTGATAAAGAACCAACTTATGGAATCATTGATGCTTCCGGAGGGGTTAATCCTGGATTCAATTTTATGTATGTCTGAAGAACAAGGTTATCTTTGTAACGAAACTTATTTCGCATAACTGGAATTGGTTTCAGTTTGAGAACCTTTGATTCATTACTTAAATCACCTCTATTACTTTTTGTCTTTAAGTTTGTGGCCGTGGATGTCTAAGACAAGAATCCGATTTGCTTCTACGATATTTCGGTATTTACGTTCGCCGCCACGAGCTGTCTGTTTCGCCGCCTTCAAGGACACTAACGAAGACGCAAGTCTGTCACCAAAGTTAACGTTAGTGTGTGTTGCAAACCATGAGCAGTATGAAACTGTATCTAAGATGAAAGGTWAAGTAATATATTCAAAGTTTTGAAAGAAAATTGTCACTTTAGAATTTAACATATATATTTATTATTTATTGAAAGAGGCGTAGATATAATATGGACTTCCTTGAATACTCTTGGTCTTGTCAAGTTGATTTAGTCGACCGACTGACTGATTGACTGACTGATTGACCGACCTAACGATTAACTGACCCACTGACTGAGTGATCAACCGACTGGCCGAGTGACCGATAGACCCGCCCCAATTCCACTCTCTTGTCTCCCAAAGAGTTTGTTATTGGAGCGAATCGATAACTTGTCGAACGCGGCGAACGAGCGGAGGGCAGCGGACATTGCGAAAGTCTAAGTGACAGACTAACTGATCGACTGACCTCGACCTACCAACTGACTGACTGAACGAGTGACACACTGACAGAAGACAGACCGAAGGGCTAGTGGTGGTTCTCTATCCAAGACTTATAAAAAGGGCTTATTTATTTTAAGGTGAGGGCTATTTCAGACTTGCATTAGCTACTGCCGATCGAAAAATGAGACCAGATGATAAAGCCTACCTGAAGGTCAATGGTGCTGACATGAGAATTGAATTTTTTTTTTTAAGGTTAGTACAATTATGCGCTGTCACAGTCAACCCTTGCGCTGCGAATTTATTTCGTAGTTTCTTTTTTAACTAGACGTCCTTTGTTACAGCTTATGTTCTCGCTGTTGTTTGATTCTGCTAATGATGCTACTGACGATGTTGATATTGCTCTTGTTGTTGTTTGTATTACTGTAGATGAAGTTGTCGGCTGTTCTTGATATTCACATTGCCTTGCAAATTGGTATCCCAGATAATCACATTCTGTCAAGTATTACTTAGAAAAATGTACTAAAGCTCATGTTATGCAGATTTAAACAAAATCGTTACTATTAAATGGCGTATTGATTTTTGAAGGTTCTTGAAAGATGAAGTCTGTAGAAAGGAGCTACGTTTACTTGATCAAGCCGAGAACCATGAAGAACTGGTCCTTAATTTTTTCCCGAACCCTGAAGAACCCTTCGACGTACTTTTGGTTTCTCTCCAAATAAGCAAGAACTTGGTGTTTTTGCGTAGAGGCATAGAGAGACAAAGAACCCCACTGGTGAGTTGTAAATTCTAGGATCCGCTAAATCACAGAAACTGCAACAATGTAGTAAAAATATATTTTAAAAAGTCTAAAAATAWTTTTTTAAAAACCACTATAATGGATGAAAACCATTTTAATTAGTCAGAAACAACTCTTTTGTTATCAGAACATACAGCTATTTCAAAAAAGGTTGAATACTGAATACTGCATACTGAATAGTGCATTCCAGACCGAAGTGCATTGTGGGTCATATTGACATTGTCTAAAGTAGGATTGATAATAATTATTTATTCTATTTTTCAGTATGCAATTTAGAATTTATCAAAAAATAAAAAATAAAATGGGTTCCCAAACATTAGCACATGGAATAAGGCGTTTGTCCGTTCTCGGCAAACCCTTCATAAACTGTTGTGCGTCATCCAGTTTTATTGCCATGAAAGTCGTTTCCGTACCCGGCTAACAAAAATATTAATAAATTGGAATGGGTATGGAACATGTTTTCAAGTGTTAGTCATGATAACTTACTGCGTACATTCACGAGCCATCAAGTGTGGCATCCGAAGACAACTCCAACTCTTCTTTAGATTGTTTGGAAATCAGCTGGAAAACGTATTTCACAATTGTAAATGGAAGATTTGCAAAAACGACTGTAGTAAAGTATAGCTTATGCTGATACTAATATATTTACTTAGAGGCTGATATTTACTTATATATTGTAAGTAATGCAATTATCAATGGCAACCATATGAAGAGCTTAGGAAAAATCTGAGCTCCAGATATGATTTTCCTGAGCTCTATTTCAGATGGTTGTCATGAATAATTTCATTTCATATATTTCCACCATATTTTACCCTTCATCTTCTAAGAACGCTCATGTATTGTGGTTAACCAAATGTATATATCTTCCTAAATTCTTAGGCTCATCAACAGGAAGTTGAAGAACAAGCTCAGCCATTAGAAGGTTTTACATTTCTATTTCCATTCTAGTTTCTCTTTTGTAGCAGGAACAGAACTTTTATCCGTTAATTGTAGATACTGACGCATATATATGATGGAGATCGCTACGTTTAAAAACTGAAATAAATATGCAGTGAAAATAATTCGAGTTTTTGAAGTATCATGCAAAAGTTAGTTTCGAATATTAAATAATAACATGTTGTTAGTATTATAGATATTATCCAAACTGAGGACTGCTGAATATAGAAGAAATGAAATAATAGTTCTTGTATATATATATATATAGCTTTATTATGATCATATTTCAGATGATGACTAAAATAACAGAGGACATGTATAGTTGATGCAGCAAAAAATATCCCCTGATTTTAAGATCAACCAACATCCAGGAGATCTCGCCTCGAAGCGCGCAAAGGATTATTTATCAAATCGAACAATCCCTAATTAATTTTAATTGCTGATAGGGCAAGAGGAAGCTTTTTTGGTACATGTAACATAACATTATTCAATGTAAAGTTCTATTTCAGGACGTATTTTAAAAAGGTTAACTCGAAATACGACTCCATTTTGAAATTCATCATGGAACTTTTGGCGATGCAACAAAAATGCTTCTAATTGGTTAATAGTAACCGGAAATGCGTGCGCGAGATCACCTGGATAGCGCGGGGGTCAAATGGAAGAAAAACTAAAATGGTGGATAAAATTATTCATTATTTTTGTAGGTGCAGTGGCAAATCTGCCATCGGTGTCGTCGGAAGAAGAAGAAGAAGGTATGTTATCGTGCTGCTCGAAAGCATTTCTACTGACTTCAAACATTATTTTAGTCATAGTAGCGATGATTGATAAATGAAAGCCTACCAATTAAAAAATGTTATAATAGAAACGAAAACCTTGGAAAAAATAGTTGTTATAGAGTTAGATCGGGCTGCAAAACTCACAAGGCACTAATATAAATCAGCGTTGAATAGAAGGAATTTAGGTTTAGGATTGGGGGTTTAGGCTGCTTTCATAATGTATGGCAGAGGGTGTTGGGCAGGTGAAATTAAGGGCGGACGGGAAAATCTTTTACCAGTAAAATGGTGGGATTGAAAATTTTCATCATAGAATTGGGGGATGCAAACTTTTTAGAAGAAGCTAAAAGAGATTGCCCGGGGGGGGAGCTATTTTTGGGGGGACTTCAGGGAGGGTCTCCCAAATATTAGCACGGGGAATAGGGCGTTTGTCCGTTCTCGGCAACCCCTTCCTAAACTGCGTCATCCAGTTTTATTGCCAATGGAGTCATTTGCGTACCCGGCTGACAAAAATATTGATAAATTGGAATGGATATGGAACATGTTTTCACTTTTTAGAAGAAGTTAAAAGAGATTGCCCGGGGGGGGAGCTATTTTTGGGGGGACTTCAGGGAGGGTCGGAGGGTCTTTAAAATTTTCTATGTCATTTAAAGATTTCACCTGCCCCCCTAACCCCCCCCCCTCTTGCCATATATTATGAACACAGCCTTAGCTCAGTAACATGAATATAAAAATTTTGTATTGTTATCTTCGCATTATGACATAATTTTGAGAAGGGGCCATTCAGTTTCTGAAATATCGTATAAGTTACGGCATTTGTACGTAACAACAGTTTTCTCAAAGATTCTCAACGTTTTAGGGTTAAGGGCCTGGTATGCCTTGCATGGCTCCAGAAACAAAGAGACTGCTGAGTCTCGGTTGAATGAGATAGGAAGGGGAGCGGGTCCTAGTCTCGATGTTTGGAGGGGTAGAAGGGGGGATAGGATGGAAACCGACAAAGCGGTGGGGAGGTAGTAATATTCCCTCGGCGTACCTTCGGAGTTCAAGAAATAGAATGCAGCGAACCGAGTACAAAAAGGGTAGAATCCATTGTGCAACATTCACTTTAATAGTAGTGTTGGTATTTATCCCCCAGGAATTCGAGACCTTGTTTCGCGTTTTAGCAAAGCATCATTGGCTACTCTCGGCGCAGCAGAAGTGGCAGAAGGATTGCGTCAGTATTTAGGCCTTGACAGAACCTTAATTGCCGACCCTCCGTACGAAATTATTCAAAAATGTCAACAATTTTGCCGTTTTCTAAAAGATAATCGAAGAAAAGATATCGTTGAAGCCCTTAGAGATGAATTACCTAGTGGGATGACAGGTGAGAGTAGATATAAAGGAAATTTATATATGTCACACCTCTCTATGATCAGCCCTTTTTTAATTATTACTCTGTTTTTCCCCCCTAAAATATTTGGGCATGTGATTGAAGAATTGTTACCCGATCAACTCACTCCCTTCCCACCCCACATCACACTTTTATAATGACCAAGACCGACGAGCAAATGAAAATTGCACGCAGTTTTGCTTGATTTTCCTTTTCGCCCATATTATTTAACACGCTCATTGAAATATGCCGTCACAGGTCCACTTATGGATGGAAAAACCTTTGTCAAGAATCTGGACCATGGAACAAAATTAACATTGTCTAGAGCTTTATCAGGTAAGACTACAGTGTTGGATATGTAGACTCCAAGACTTGTTGCCGTCAGCATGAGGACGGCAAGAGACGGCGACGCTAGGATGATGACGCGAGTACATGTCAAAACGGTTTTCATGCGCGCCGTCGTCCTTGCCATTGCCGTTCTCTTTAGGACGTGAAAAAGCACCAACTAACGTTCTACAGCAGACATAAATTTGTTGATTGGTCTTCCTGTGGTATTGACGTGTGCTGACGAATACAGTTTTCCGCGAAAAATAGCGTGTAAAAATAGCAAGTAAATATCAAGGATGGTGGCGTACATAAATTGACGCGGGAATGAAACTTTTTCAAACCTTTCGACAATGCTACGTCAGATTGCCAGGGCCAGTTAATGAGCTAATTTATTGCAAATGTATACACTGATGTCATAAAAATGGCTGCCGCTCGGAAGAGGAATGGAGCGAGCACCGGAGCGAGGCATTTTAGGACTCGGCTAGCCACATAATTAACATGGCTTCGTGATCGGACATAAATTGCTGCGTTCCTCTTTGCACTCAAAAGGGAACTACTTTTAGTTTCCCAAAAGAAGCACCGCTAAAGAAGGTTTGGTTTGCGAAGATCAGAAGAGATCTTGGCAAAAATTTCATCGTAAACAACAACACTAAAGTATGCTCATTGCACTTCGAACCAAGCGAGATCCAGAAAGGATATGGTGGGGAAATGTCTTTGAAAAGACGCAATGAAGTCTTCTCTACGAAGTTTAACTGGCGTACTTCACCAAGAAAACGGCCAGCTCCTTCTCCAAGGACAGCAACAAGCAGCGCCGTTGTAGAAAGCCCAGGTTGGGCTATCGTTGAGAATTTAAAGCATAGAACCTCTTCTTTGCTCAACTTTCTCTTTGTGAGTATTTGGTTTGGATCTGGATCAATAATATCTCCATCTTTTCCTTGGGAAATATACTCCTCCACACTAAAAAATAACCGAAATATTCGGACTTAGTAACAGGCTTTGTTTATTAAAGTTTAGTCGTGACAAACAAAAGGCTACATAAAATTAAACTTACCGTTTAACAAGTTGTGCTTTCGTATTCAAACCTTTTGCACGATCACCCCGACACTTAAGCCAAAATCTTAATTC